TTCCATCTGGAATCAGCAGGTTCTCTGAGAAGGGTGTGGGGATGGGATATGTCATGGCATCTATTGTACTGATGACCCAGTGCCCCTCCTTTCTTCTGGGAATCACACTCCCTTTGTCTTAGTGTGGGTTCTCCCAGAACCAGACACTGGGAAGAGGATTCAAGTGCAAGTCATTTACTTGGGAGGTTCAGAGAACGCCGGTGGGGAGAGGGGAGGAGAGGTGGGGAAGGGGGAGTCGGTGAAGGCAGGTTATCTAGGAGCTTAATCTTGCTGGGGAGTTCTGGCAGACAGTGTAGAACCCTAGAATTGTTCCATCCAAGGGGTGAGGGAGCTGGGGTATTTACCCACTGGCTCCCATCAGATATTGGCAGAGGCAGCTGCCAGAAGCATTGACTCCCTGGCCCTTCCTAGCTTGGGCAGAGTGGGTTCCAGCAGTCAGAAAGAAGCCTCGAGAAGACAGCCACAGTGCAGGCAGTTGGAAGAGGGTAGTGTGTTTGGAAATGGTAAATGCTAGGGGAACGGGGGTTAGGCAGCCGTGGCGTCCCCTACAGGCTGCTTCTAGAGACTGTCCTTCCCTCCTGCTCCATCTCAGTGTTCTGAAGGATCCTGCCATTTTCTTACAGACTTCACTCCCTACCCCAGCCAGCTTGGGGTGGGCAGGTAATTCGTGCTGAGCCAATCTTAGCCCTTTCCTAGGATTTTTTTTTTATCATGGGACCAGCAAGAGTGAGCAATTGATGGCAGAGACTCTGCTGTTCCATAAGGAACAGAGAGGGCTGAACAAAGCTGGCCCAGAGAGAAGCAGAGGCAAGCTGTGGACAGAGGGTCCTGGGGTCAACCCAGATGTGTCCGAAGGTCCACCACGCCCTATCCTCTGAGGTCTGGGTGCTCAGCTTTCCCTTAGAGCATCAACCTCCGGATCTTCACAGACTTCGCCCTCTGAACTCAGCTAGCTCGAGCTGGGCATCTGCAACCATGGCAGGCAGGACACAGATTTGGATGTAGTAACAAAGTCCCCCAAATAGCGGTTCTGACTCCATTGTCTTTTGCTTTGTAACGGACCATCCAAAATGCAGTGGCTTAAAACGACAACGCTTTCTTATTTCTCATGATTCAGTGAGCTGACTGGGTGGTTCTTCTGCTCCACGTGGTGTTGCCTGGGGTCACTCATGTGGCTGCACTTGGCTGGCAGCTGGCAGGTACGGCAGATCCACGGTGACTTCTTCCACCTGCCTGGAGCCTTGGCACTTGCTCCCGGCTGGGGTGCCGTGGTTCTCCTCCACGTGGCCTCTCTGTCCACACGATATCTCGTCCTTTAGGGCCTCTGTGTGCAGCCTCACTCTCCAGGAAGGGAGCCTGGTCTTCCTTACAGCATGGCAGCTGGGTTCCAAGAGAGTAAAAGTGGAAGCTACAAGGCTTCTTAAGGCCCGGGCTCAGAGCTGGCGCAGCATCACTTCCTCTGCGTCCTTAGTCAAAGCCAGGCACAAGGTCAGCTCAGAATCCAGAGGAGGGAAAATGCACTCTCTCTCTTGATGAGCGGGATGGCATGTGCATACTGGGAGGAAGAAATTCTTGTGACTGTCTTTGGAGAATTCCTACCATGAGTGGCTTAAATCAGGTAGAAGTTTCTGTCTCCCGTAACAGTCCAGGGCTGGGGCGGCTCCTCCAGGACGATCGGCTCTGAGGCTCCTTCTTTCTTGTTCCTCCTTTGTCCTTATGATGTGGCCCTCAGCCACTAGTTCCAAGAGGACCCCTCCCGCGTTCCCGTTCCAGCAAACAAGAAAATTGAAGAGGAGTCACGTGCAGCCTTCCACAAGGCTCTGACAGATAAACTGCCCGTCCACTTCCCAAACCGCCCATCAGCCAGGACGCGGCCATATGGCCACTCTAAATGCAAACGAGGCCAGGAAACACAGTTTTCACTTTAGTGGCCAGAAGCCCTGCTAAAAATCCTGTCGAAGGAGCAGGAGGATATTGGAGGACACTAGCGTTCTTACCTGTCAAGTGACTAATTCAAGAAGAAAGAGAGCATGTCTGCAGAGATGAGGAGCCATGCTAAATCCACCCTGTTACCACTAGTGGCCTTTAGTCCGATAGCCAAGGAACACCGATTGAGCATCTCCTATGTGTGCTGGGATTACAGCAGTGAGCAAGACGGAAAGGTCCCTCTTCTCATGGAGTTTCCATTCTAGATGAAGGGGCAGACAGTAGAAATGGGGACACAAATCAGAGAGTTTCAGGTGTGACAAATACAGGAAGAAAATGCTGCAGGTGGTGGGAGATGACTTAAGCAGTGGTGGTCAGTGGAGGCCCCTGTGAGGGTGTGACGTTTGAGCTGAGACTTGGAGAATGAGAAGGGACCAGTTATACAAAGACTTTGGGAAAAACATCCCGGGCAGAGGGAACAGCAGGTACAAAGGCCCAGAGGTGAGAAGGAGCCTGACTTATTCCAGCAACAGCAAGGGGGAGGGGAAAGGACAGAGGGGTGGGCAGGTCTTAATGGGAACAAATGTTTTGGTTCTCTCGGGTAATTGCTTACTTCTGTGGAATTGCTGAATCGCTGGGTAGGTAAGTGTTTAACTTTATAAGAAGCTACCAAAACTCTTTTCTGAAGTGGTTGTTCTCTTTTACGTTTCCACTAGCAGTGTATGAGATTTCCAGCTGGCCCACCTGATGGGGTCAGTTGTTGAACTGAGTCATCCTGGTGGGTGCGTAGCGATATTTCATTGGGGTTTTCATTTGTATTTCCCTAATGACTAATGATGTTGAACGCTTCTTCACGTGCTGATTGGCCATTCATATATCTTCTTTTATGATGCGTCTGTTCAAACCTTTAGGCCGTTAAAAAAAAATAGGTTCTCTGTTTCAAAAAGTTTCCACTGGCTGCCGCGGGGAGGATGGACTGTAGGGGGCGAAAGTGGAAGCAGGGGGAGTGAGGAGGGCCTGCTGCTTCCCTAGAGGTGAGCTTGTTGCACGTAATTTCAACAGAGTGCCTGCTTTTTGGGAAAGTCAGCTTTGGCCTTCCCTGACTCTCGGACTGCCTCCAGGAGCGACTGAGACACTTTAGAGAGAGAGAATTGTGGGGGAGGTGGGCCACCCTGCTTCCTGGAGTCTGGCGGTGGGGTGGGGCCCAGCCCTCCGTCTCAGCCTTCTTTCACCCACTGTGGGGGGACCCCATCTGCCCGTGGAACGGAGACCCTGGAGAAGGGACCAGCCCAGGCCGGCATTCTGTGGTCTGCACCCTACAGTCGTACCAGGTGCGAAAATATTGAACTATTTCACTTCTGGGTGGTAAAGAAGTTCTACCCCACATCCCACAGATCTCTGCCATCATCCCAGTCCGTTCCCTTGGGTCACTTTGGACTTCCCCACATCTCTGCAACTGAAAGGGGGCCCCAGGACTCGGGCCCAGTCCTAGGGCCACATCAGTTCTGATGGGCTGGTGCCTGGGTGTGCTGGCTATGACTGAATGGTGGGGACGGCCCAGGCCTGGCTGCAGCTGGGAGGAGGCTGAGAGGCCAAGGGAGGTTTTTATCAAGGTGACCCCAGAACTGGAGACCTGAACTTCTAACAGTGACGCTAATGAGGACACTGAATTAACAGTCCTTGAGCGTACACACTGTGCCAGGCAGGCATTATTCTGATCGACCTCACAAAATCCTTGCAATAACTTGGACCATTGCAGCAGCTTGGCCCCTGCTCCTGTCCCCACTCCCATAGTCTGTCCTCACGCCCAGCCACAGGGTGCTGGGGAACACCTGAGTCGGACCAAGGCCCTCCTGGCTCAGAGCCTCCTCTGGTCTCTGCCGGCCCCTGGCTCACCCGGCTCCAGCCGCCTGGACAAGCCTGGTGGCCTCGAGGGCCTGCGGGGTCTGCTCGCTCCACGCTCACTCCACGCCTGGTCAGGGGTGGGGCGGGGGGGGGGACGGGTGTTGGTTCTTTAGCGACTCGACTCAGGACTCCGCCAAGCCTGGGTAGTGGCAGCTGGTAGCAGCCAGTGCTGCCTGGACTGGGCCCTGACCCTCCTCTGGACTCCAAAACCCCTCCCCCCACAACGGGCCATGCAGCGTCTGTCCCATGATCAGCATCCAGTTTCCCCTTTTCTCTCCTGAGCCCCGGCCCAGGGAACGGTGGGGTGTGACGCCTGGACGGGGGAGGGGGGCTTCCTGCTTCTGGCCCTAACCTCAGGTTCCTCCTTCCCCAGCCCCGGCTCCTGTCTCCTCCTGGGTGGCCTCCCTCAGTTCGTGCTTCCAGCCACTTCCTCATTTGCTGGGGCAGCCCAGCCCGGCCCAGGAGTCACCACACTGCCGCCCTCCTGCTTCACTCCAAAGCCCCAATCCTATGTCTGTGTCACTGTCTGCTCCTCTCCCTCTTTCTCTGCCTCGCCGTCCTTTTCTCCTTCCCTATTTTTCATCTCGGTTCTTTTTTCTTTCTCTCAAAGGGTCAAATATCTGTCTTTGGCTCCTGGGGTCCATTTCACCTTTATTTGCCGTGTGACCTTGGGCGAGCGTCTTTACCTTTCTGTAATATGGGGATGATAAGATTGTCTACCTGAGAAGGCTGTTGTGGCGCTCTGATTAATCAAGGTTCTGATTATCAAGTAATTATAGCCGGCACTTATAAAAAGCTGACAAGTGTCAGACCCTGTTCTAGAAACACTAATTCATTTGATCCCCACAACACCCTATGAAGTAGGTACTATTTTACTCCTCGTTTTACAGATGAGGAAACTGAGGCCCAGAAAGGTTGAGTGACTTGCTCAAGGTTGTCCAGCCAGGAAGAGGCAGAACTGGCTTCAATCATGGTCAGCCACTGACCCTCCTGGTACAGTGATGTCTGACCCCTAATTGGGGTGGAGGTCTAGTTGACACATGGATGCCTTGCCCTTCGGGTCCAGCCTTGGGCTGCAGCAGGAGCGCTGGGATGTCTGGGCTTCATTCTTTCAGGCGTTATTTTTCTCTGTCCCTCCTCCCGTCCCGTCCCCTCCTTCCTCCTGCCACCACCCACCTCAGACTTCCTCCTTCACTTGGTTCGACGCTACGCCACATCCCACCAGCCCTTGGACTATGGTGTCCAGCAGCGTCGCCGGCATCATGGGGGACCTGGGGCCCTCCCAGAGGGTCCTGCTCCTGCCTCTCCTTCTCATTGTGGGTGGTGAGTTGGGGGCTTCTGTAGCTGCCTCCTGAGCCCCTGGGCCCAGCGCCGGGCAGGGCAGAGAGCAGGGTGGAAAGAGAGAACCAAACGGCAGGGTTGGGATGGGAGGAGATCCCCAGCTCCTCAAACCCTACGGGTCTCTCTCAGAGCCTGAGCCCCCAAGATCTGGCCTCTGGTAGAAGCCGGGAGAGGGAACTCTAAGGGTGTTGGGACAGGACAGTCGGTGTAGAAGTAGAAGTTGATGATGACAGCCCACAGGCCCCACCAGATGTTGCTCTCCACCCCGCCTCTTGGCTGTCGGAACCTACCCTCTCCAGCTTTTATTCCTACCCGCTAGTCACTGCCCTGTGCCTCAGTTTACCTTCTTTTTCTCTCCTCAGGTCTCAGCCCTGTCCAGGCCCAGAGTGGTAGGCCTAGACCCTCAATCCCGCTCCCTACCTCCCAAAGACCTCCCCATCTCTGCCCCTTCCCCACTCTCTCCAGACCTCCCCCTGCTGACACCTCCTCCCAGTTCCCAACTCCCACTGGAACGCCCCTGACCCTGTGCCACATACCTTCCCAGAATGCAACTGCTCTGTGGTGAGCCCCGGTGTGCTGGCAGCCATCGTGCTGGGGGACCTGGTGCTGACCCTCCTTATCGCCCTGGCCGTGTACTCCCTGGGCCGCCTGGTCCCTCAGGGGAAAGGGAAAGGGGCTGTGGAGGGTGAGTGGGGCTGGCGGGGGATGGCCCGGGACTTGCCTGGCGGGGAGGGGAGGCTCCCAAGTCACCATCATCCAAAGGGATGGTGATGGAGGGGCTGATTTCGCATCAATAAAATGGTCCCCATTCACCACCTTGTCTGTGTCTGCACCCTGCACCACTCGCCACCCCCAGCAGTGACACGGAAACAGCGCATCACGGAGACAGAGTCGCCTTACCAGGTGAGGAAACCACTCTTTCGCTCCTGCCCTGTGAGTGTCTGTCCTAAACACTCCTCAGTCTTCCCCGAACCGAGACCCTGAAGCCACTTTCTCAGCAGCACTGTAAACCCTTGAAGACAAACAGGGCGTCTGCCCAAACCTGCTTTCAATGAGCAATCAGGACCTTACGCTCAGCTTAGTGGGAGGAGAAGAAATAGGAGGGATGGCTTTGCCTTTGCGAAGGCAAATGCAGGCCTCAGCCAGAAGGCAGGCTCCAGATTGTTCTGGAAAAGCCCGGGCTGGGACAGGCTGGTTTCCGGGAGAAGCTCTCAGAAGGGATATAAGGATATAATTCAGCCCTAGTTTGGTAACTAAAGAGTTCCCGAATTGTTTTGGGAGGGATCATGCATCCCTTTGAGAAGCTGGCGAAAGCTAGAGACTCCTCAGGAAAATCCACACCAAAAATGCAAAATCGTGCATATAATCTAGGGGCAGTGCAAGCATCCTTGACACCCTTCTTAAGAACCACGATCCAGCCAGACGCTTCTCTCCACCTCCTGCCTCTCTGTCAGCACCATTCTGACCCTTCCGGGGGTCATGGGCTCCTCTGATAATCTAATGGAAGCCAAACAGCCCCTCCCCGTGAAGACGCACATCCAGATGGGGCATTTGCCGTTGATTTCAGGGATTCTGTCTGAGGGCTGCCTCTTGGGGCCACAGACTGTCCTCCATCCCCACCCCCCGTTGTGAGTCCTGCCCTGTGAAGTCTGTTTGAATTCTCTGCGCCCAGTTTTGCTTTGCCTCACTTGTGGGTAAACGGTCTCTTCATAAAGTGTGACAGTCTTGAGTTTGGCTCTGTGACGTCCAGGAGACAGAAGGGGCTTTCACTTACTGCGGGCACTGAAATTTTAGGGCCAAGCCTTACTCCAAGGTATTCACGCCTTTGGTAGGATTTGTCGAGCATCTGTACGGGCTGATGCTGGGGACACAGCAGCAGAATTTACAACCTATCTGGGGAGACGGACTGGAAGCATGTTAACAAATAAGATCATTTTGGGGAGGTGTCATGAAAGACATAAAACGGGTTGATGTGACCGGGAGTGGGGTGTGAGGGAAGTCACCACAGATGGGGAAATCAGGAAATGCGTCTCTGAGGAAATGACACAAGTTGAGACATGAAGAGGGGGAAGGAACCATCTGTAGGAAGATCTAGGGGGCCAGTGTTCCAGGCAGAGAGAACAGCATGTGCAAAGGCCCTGAGGCTGGGGCATAACGATAAGGTAGAGGAGAAGGGGAACACTGAATGGACTTGAGTAAAACCCAGATCTCTTCCATGGCTGCAAGCTTGAAGAAGCTGCGAGGGGAGTTCTGGGAGAGGGCTGGATTCTTTTTGAGTTTATTTGGTGGATCCCTTCCACTGATGCTCCCTACCCTGTTTTTCCCTTTAGGAGCTCCAAGGTCAGAGGTCAGATGTCTACAGTGACCTCAACACACAGAGGCCATATTACAAATGAGCCCAGACCACGGCAGTCAACAACCTGATGCCTGGATCCAGTCACTCCTGATGCCTACTTAGCACCCTATTCCTACTCCCACCAAGATACAGATTCACGGAGTGCCCTCCTTGAGATGCCAGACCTTTCCCCACCACTGCCCCCAAATAAACAAGGCACCCCTAAACCCTGTTGAGTTATTCCAGATCCTTGGGCTGAGGGGAGGGGGATATGTGGGGTTCTGGGGGAGAGTCATGGACCCAGAAATAGCTAAATGGGATGGAGGCTTCGGGGACCCTGGGGTTCTTTGAATAAGAATTCGAAGTAGATGTATTCCAATTGCTTTATTCCAAAGCAACCCAAAGCTGGGAGTGGGTTTCCTGTGCCATCACACACAATCCGGGATGAGAGGGTCAGAAGTCAAAGGTCGCAGTTACAGGGGGCTCAGCCTCTGGCAGGCATGTTAATGTAGATTTTGCCATCTTCTAGGGGTGGGGGAGAGAAAGCATGAGGCCTGACCACTCCTGCCCACCCACATCTCCTCCTCCCTGGGGGCCCACCTCTTCAGGGGTTTCCTCAGGGGTTCCCCTAAGCACCGCCCCCAGGGTTTCCCCAGTACCACCTCCAGGACTTCCCCGGGGACCCCTCCCTGGGGACCTCCTCCCTAGGGACACCCTACTCCCGTCCTCGCCCTGCCCCTGCCCCTGCCCTCACCTTGGGTGGGCCTGCTCCGGGGACGCATACACACAAATACGACCGCCACGATTAGCAGCGACACCACCGCATCGGCGGCCACGAGGCCTGCCAGGAGCGGCAGGGAGAGGGGTCCACACCCAGAACAGGAACCTGAGGGTGGGGGCCAAGACAAGAAGGCAGCTGAGGGGCTCCAGACCCTCAGAGCTGTGCTTTGGGCATATGGGGCAAAGGAAGATGCTGAAGGGGTGTCACAGACTCCCTGGGGTTGCACTTGGGGGTGAAAGGGGGAGAAACTGAGGGGTTCCAGGACTCGAGGGCTGTGCTTTGGGCATAGTAGGAACTGCCAAAGAGAGGCTGGGGGGTGGCCAAGTCCCTGGGGCTTCACTTTGGTGATGAGGGCAGTGAGATGGGGACCCAGGGTGGGCTTCAGATCCTCTGGGAGCTCTGATTTGGAATGCGAGCTGAGATGGTGACCTGGAGAGTCACTGGGAGAGTTCCAGGGCCCTCGAGACACACTTTAGGGATGCCAGCAGTCCCTGAAGTGGCATGGCAGAGGGAAGGAGCGTCAACTTCTCACCTGCGGTTATCTGAGCTGCAGCCACTGTGAGAAGAGAAGGAAGGTGGATCAGCGGGGAGAGGTGGTTCCCAAAATAGGGTGCAGGGAGAGGGGACGTCCTGAAAAGTAACCCCTACTCCAGAGAGATCACATGAGCAAGAGGGGTCAGATGGGAAGGGGAGCTCCCAGAGACACAGAGAGAGACAGAAAATCAGAGGGAGAGGCAGAGACCCAGCAGTGAGAAGGGAGATGAACAGGCAGCCACTCCAGACTCAGTTTCCCTCCCCAGAGAACCAGGTCCAAAGCTGCATAGATCTCTGGGAAGAGAGGGGAAGGGAAAGGGTACTGGGAGAAGGACACGCCCTGAGTACTCCTCCCTTCAGATGCCACCCAAGCCACCCCTTTCACAAATACTTGGCTTGCCACCCCCCATAACCTCTGGCTTCACCTGGGAGCAAAAGCAGGAACAGGACGTTGTCTGGAGAAGCCATGGTGGGCTGAGGGCTGGAAGGGGTCTGGCAAAGGGCTTTGGTCCAGAGAAGTCCTGAGGAACAGTGGGGGAGTAGACTGGCAGCAATAGCGGATGTCACCCTGCTGGTGACAAAGCCACCTGCTTCCTGTGTTGTGTGTGTGGGAGGGTGAGAGGTGGCGGGTCCCTGTGACTGCCTTCAGGGACCAACTGGGGGGAGGGTCAGAGAAACCAGGGAGGCTGCTACCATTGTCCAGGTGGGAGGTGACAGGTGGACCAGGGTGTGGGCACTAGGGAGATTCTGGAAGGTTTTGGAAGTAGAGCTTGCTGATGGAGTGGATGTGGGTATGTATGAGAGAGAAGGACCCAGGATGACCAAAGCTTCTGGCCTGAGCAACTGAAAAGATGGAGCATCCTTTGACAGGATGCAGAAGGAGGGAAGCGAGTGCAGGGGGAAAATGCCTGAGGTCTGGGCACACTGAACTGGAAATGTCTGATAGAGCTCTGTAGGGGAGGAAGATAAATCCTCCACCCTCTCTGGGTCCTTCTGGCTGGCCTAAGAATTAAATTTACATGAGATCGAGTAACAGGAGAAAATCAAAGCTTTATAACATGCATACATGGGAGAAACTCAGGAAAACTGGGTAACTCCGCAGAATGGCCAAAGCTATCACCTTAAATATCATCTTCAGCTAAAGACACAGGAGGATGTTGGGGGTAGTGGTTTGGGGTTTCAAAGGGGACGAAGGCAGTTCACACGAGATGCAAAGGCAAATGTTTGGTAGATGAGAACAGGCTTAGCAAGGACCCTCATAGTCTATGAGACCCAGAGTTATCTATGGTGATGGCCTGTCTGAGAGGCCATCTTAAATTGTTTAAGATAATTTAAGAATTATCTTAAATTCTTTTAGGCACTTAGGGGGAAGGTCAAAGTTTCTTTTAGTCTTTTGTTCTTAAAAATAATCAAAGCAAAGAGACACATTTTGGGGTGGCCAATTCTGATCCCCGGCATCTCCTTGTGGAGAAGTTGAACAACCACAGCTGCCTCTGAGTTCAGGGGATAAGTCCGGCCTGGAGATGTAAATTTGGGGGTTGATGGCTATGGATGGTATTTAAAGCTATGAGACTGGATGAGATCACCAAGGAAGTGCGTATAGAGGAGCAACGTCCCCCTTCCCCCCCCCCCCCCCCCCCCCCCCCCCCCGCCCCCACAATGGGTGGAGAGGAGGAAACAGCCAGGGAAAGCAAGGAGCAGCAAGCGAGGGAGGAGAACCCGGAAACATGGAGTCTTGGAACCCGGGGAGAAATATGATTGACACGGTCAGCGCTGTGGATGGTCCCAACATGGGAACTGAGAAGGAGCCTCCCACCGGAATGTCGCTGGGCTTGAGGGCTGGGAAGTCCTGCCCGCTTCGTTCATAGCTCCACCACAGCGCTCAGCAAAGTGCCCCCACCCCCCACCCCGCCCCCCCGGCCCCGCGGTAATACATAATTGTAAATGATGAATGAATGAGAACCGAACTCTGGAATAAAAGGTGATGGGAGGAAGACGGAGCAATTTGAGTCCACCTAGATCACTCTTACCAACAGACCTTTCCTCCCTCCAGACCAGGGAGTCCAGCCCCCCAGCCCCCTCCTCCTTTGCGATCCAGTAATAAGCCCCCCAGGACCCAGCCCAGGGCCCCGCAGTCAAGGCCTCCTGCACCCCCTGGACACAGACCCGTAAATCGAGGCCCCAGGGCCCTCCTCCTTCAGGAGTCCGCTACCCCAGACCCCTTCCCCCTCAAACCAAAGGTGGGGTCCCCAGCTCCCTCTTTCCCGAGAGACTTAGGCCCGCAAAATCAGCCCCGCCCCTTGAGAGCCCGGGTTTACTGGAGCGCGACGCGGGGACTCCCCGGCCCGTGGGCGGGGCCCCGCCCAGGGCGGGGCGGTGCCAGAAGCTCGTTTAAAAACTCGCGGGGGACCGGACCCAAGATCGGGGACCCGGCGGCGGCTCCGCGGGGACACAGCGAGGCTGGCGCAGCGCCGAGGCCGGGGCCCTGGGGGCCCCCAGTCCGCGCCCCGGAATCCCCGAGGTAATGGGGGCAGGGAGGCGCGCGGCACGCTCGGCGGTGGGAGAGTGAGCGGCCGGCGTGTGGGGCTAGGAGGGGGACTCCGGAGGCTCTAGGGACGCAGCTGGAGCATCACGTCCTGGGTCCTAGGAGTGAGGGTACCCGGTGTTTGGAGGGGGCAGGGGGCCCGGACCCCTGGGTCTTGATGGAGGCGCGGCTGGGATCCGGGCTCCTGGGTCCCGAGGGTGAAAGGGCTGGGAGCCCGGACCCCTGGGTCCCGTGGAAGGAGGGCTGGCGGCCCGGATCCTTCCCCTGGGGAGAGGGCCTGGCCTGAGTCGTCGGGGGCGTGTTGTTTCAAACCAGCCCGGGTCTCCGTGGGGAGGGTCGGGCGCCTGACCGCGGGGGGTCCACGCCGGCCGTGACCTGCCCTCGCCCCGGGATTTCCCGAGTCGCCCCGCGTCCGGGGTCCCCGGGCTGAGCAGGAATTCCCCACGTGCGGGGATTCCGCGAGCGCCACGCTCGGCCGCGCGCCCCGCCCCGGGACCGGACACCTGGGCCGGCACCCAGAGTTAGGGGAGATGGAAGATTCCCTTGCGTGAGCGCCGTGACGTCAGCGCGTCGCGTCTGTTTCCGTGTCTGCCCTCCCCCGCTTAACCCTTCCTCCGCCGGAACCGGCTCGGAGGGTGTGGGCTGAGAGCCCGGGCTTCCTAGGTCCAGGCGTCTGGAAACTGGGACTCCCAGGTCCTAGGGAGGAGGAAGCCCGGACTCCTGCGTCCCGGGGAAGGGCCGCTGGGCTCCCAGATTCCTGCGGGAGGGGCCTGCACTGCGGGGCCTGAAGGGGCGCGGGGTCTGAACCCCTGGATCCCTGTTGAGCTAGGGGGCTATTGACTCGTGCTTCCCCGGGGACAGGGGCCGGGGACTCGGACACCCGGTTTCCCGAGGAAGGAGTATCAGGTCCGCTTCTAGGGCCGAGGGATGTTGGGAACCTGGGTTGCGTCTCCAGGGAGTGATGCCCGGTGACCCCCCTCTCCCCTCCCTGCCCACCGACCTCAGGCCTGGGAGATCTGGAAGGTGGGATTTTTCACGGAAGTTGGGGGTGCTGCAGAAGGGCGCTCTCCTCCCCCTTCCTTAGTTTCCACGACGCTGGTGGAAACTTGGGTCAGAGGGGAAAGTGCGGAGCAAAAGGAAGGAAACGGCGGAGGCGGGCGCCACACCCGAAAGTTTAGCTTGGCTTTGGAGTTCTCAGGCGGCATCAGTGTGCCAGTTTTTCCGCGCGGGAGGGAGCCAGAATCCACTCCCCCGCGCCCCTGGGTGACTTAAGGACTCCTGATTACTTCCCTCCCCGCGCAGTGAGCCGGAGTGAGCGCAGCCACTGTCCGTCGCAGACCGTGAAGAAGCTCCTGGAGGAACAGAGGCGCCGCCAGCAGCAGCCTGACGCTGGTGGGGTACCGGTGAGGCCCATGAAGCCCTGCCCTGCCGTGCAGGGACTCGCTGGCTTGCCGCCCTCGGAGCTGATGAGAGATGTCGTCCCGACTTAGATGCCCTGTAGGTGGGGAGTGGATGCTGAGGAGCCTGCCAAATAAATTCCCCCTTGTTCCTTTTTGCTTCTGCCTCTACAGGGACAGTTCCCGCCTCCCCTGGCGCCGCCCCTGACGCCATCTGTGAATGAGGCTGAGGCTGGTAAGTCTGGAAACTCACCTGCTTCCCTCAGGGCTCAAACATCCCAACTCAAAACTTTTAGGAACTTCGGAGTCAGACCCTCCTTCTTGCTGGGACCCAGTAGGTTTGATGCTCCAGATTCTCTTCAGCCCCCCAGTCTATACACCTGTCCTTCGGCGTCCCGGGGCCCAGGCTCCCAGCCTTTTGGAGCTCTAGGAGTCTAAGCCCTCAACCCCTCGGGGTCCCAGAAGTCCAGGTCCCAGCCCTTTGGGGTCCCAGAAGTACTAGCTTTCAGTACCTTGGGAGACTCCAGGCCCTCATGCCCATCCTGCAGCCTTGACCATGACTTCCCTCACTCTGGTAATGAGGGCCCCCCCACTCCTCTCACACACAGGCCATACTCACTTCCCAGCACACCAGGAGACTGTGGGTTCTGGACTTGGCAGCCTGGCACCTCCCACGGGCTTTCCAGACTGGGACCCCAACACGCATGCTGCCTACACGGACAGCCCCTACTCTTACCCTGCTGCTGCTGCTGAAAATTTCCTGACTTCCGACTTCTACCCACCCTCGGACCCTGGGCGGCCGTGTCCATTCCCCCTGGGGATGGAGGTGAGATGCAGAGTGGGAACGGGATGCTGAAGGGCCCCTAGAATTCCCAGTTGCCCTCATGCAGTGTTCTGAGATGTCTGGGGCTGGGTTAAGATCCCATTCCTCAGATTGGCAAAACTGAGGCCCGAAGGTCCAAGGTCGCTTGGTACAGATGGGACTCCCAGCCACTCTGCCGGCGCTCTGTATGTGTACGTGTGTGTCGTGGATTGGGAAGAGGGAATTAGCTGACTGGCTCTCCCTACCACCCGCACCCTTCAGGAACCCCTGGATACCCGGCTCTATGCAGAACCGTCCCTGCCACAGGCGGGATCCTGGAGAGGTTCCGGACTCCCCTCAGGACCCCCACAGTTGCCCCCTGTGGTCACCGGACCATCGCTGGATGCAGCCCGTGCTCACATGCTGGCTTTGGGGCCCCAACAGCTGCTGGCCCAAGATGAGGAGGGGGACACGTGAGTATAGGGAATATGAGTATGGGGAATGGCGTCGGCAGGCTCCCGGCTTGCTGGGCAGCTGTGCTCACTGCCGCCCCACCTGTGCTCAGGCTCCTGCACCTGTTTGCGGCTCGGGGGCTGCGCTGGGCAGCATATGCTGCAGCCGAGATTCTTCAAGTGTACAGACACCTGGACATTCGCGAGCATAAGGGCAAGGTGAGGGCTGGGGGCCTAGACTCCTGGACTGAGGGCAGAGGGGCTGGGGGCCTGGATGCCTGGTTTTCAGAAGGGAGGGGCCTGGGGGTCCAGACTGACCTTTCCTGTCCCCTGCAGACCCCTCTCCTGGTGGCTGCCGCCGCCAACCAGCCCCTGATTGTGGAGGATCTACTGAACCTGGGAGCAGAGCCCAATGCCGCTGACCACCAGGGGCGTTCTGTCTTGCACGTGGCTGCTACGTATGGGCTCCCAGGAGTCCTCTCGGTATGGCCAGCTGGCAGCTGGGGTGAATGGGGTGGACTGGTTGCCCGGATCCTGGCTTCCAGTCTGGGAGACCTGGGGAGACCCTAATCCAGCCCTCTGCCTTCTCTTCCTCCCAGGCTGTGATTAACTCAGGGGTTCGCGTTGACCTAGAAGCCAGAGACTTCGAGGGTGAGTTGGGTGCTGAGCAGGGCTGGTGTTGCAGGCGGGGTGGGCACTCCAGATGCAGAGCCCTCACTGTCTCCATTCTGCAGGCCTCACACCGCTCCACACAGCCATCCTGGCCCTCAACGTTGCTATGCACCCACCCGACCTGTGTCCCCGGGTGCTGAGTACCCAGGCCCGAGACAGGCTGGCCTGTGTCCAGATGTTGCTGCACATGGGTGCTGATCACACCAGCCAGGTGAGCTGGGCTGCGGGCAGCCGGCCCCTCGGAGGGCGTGTGGCATGGGGGCACCTGGCTGTCCAGGGGCTCCGAACAGACCATGACCATTGCCTCTTCCCAGCTGTGTGACCTTGAGCACGTTACTTCACTTCTCTGTGCCCCAGTTGTCAAGTGGGAATAACGTTACGGGTCCTAGCTTATAATTATCAAGCGCTGCTTATTTATCAAGCCCTGAGTTTCATGGATTAGCTAATTGAATCCTCAAAGCCAGCCTTTGACACGTGTGCTCTTATTACTGTCTCTGTTTTACTAAGGAAACTGAGGCACTAGGAGTCAAAAATCTTATGGCTCGTGAATGTCAGAGAGAGCACTGGAACCCAGGTGGTCTGACCCCAGAATCCAGCTCTTAACAATCCTGTTATTCTCTCTCCCCTGACAGTACCTCCTTCACAGGCTGGCTGAGAAAAGTAAACATCCACTTATTGTTTTGGGTTTTTTTCCCGAAGAATTTGGAACACAGATAAAGTACAGAAAATAATAAAATGAACTCCATGTACCCGACATCAGTAGCCAGTCCTGCCCCGTCCACTCATCCACTTTCCTATATTACTTTTAAGCACACCCAAGCATATAATTTTATCCATAAATATTTGTGTCTTTAAAAGATAAGAACTCTTTTTAACCTCAATACCATTATTCCACGTTAAAAAAAAATGAACAATCTCATGATATCAGATGTCCTGGCTGTGTTCAAATTTCCACTGGGCTCTGAAGTGACGTACATTTATTTTTTTCATTTAAAATAACTAGCATCCAAATAAAGCCCAAATACGCAATATGTCTTTTTAAGTTGCTCTTAATTTAGAGCTTCCCCTGCCGTCTCCTGGTTTTCTCTTCATAATTTATTTGGTGAGCCAACTAGGTAAAAACACATAAAAGTTTTACTGTTCATTATCGTTACAAACTCTTTAAAGACACATAATAAAGTTTCATTGTGGAAAATATCTTTATTTGCTCCAAAATATGAAGAGAACAGCTCAATATGGAAGTGGATATACACTTAGTCAGTCCACTGCTCAGCTCGCATCCTTGTAGATAAAGTACAGTCTATGTGGGATGTTGGTGCATTTTACTGTGCTTAATAGAATGTGGGGTGGCCAGGGCAGCTGCTAGCCCAGAGACGTCCTTTGGTGGATTAGAAAAGGAACTTTTTTCTCAAAGACACCTGGGCTGGAAACTTGTCATGATAAATGTATAGTTCTATGATGCACATGACATTGTACTCTTGTATAGTGCACAACACATACAACTGTATAAGGCACCCCTGGATGCTTGCAAAGGAGAGACAGGGCTTCTAAAGGCTCTTGGGTTCTGTGGGAGGGGGCCTGGGTGTGAGAACTGGCCTGACCTCTGCTGTTCCTCTCCCTCCAGGAGATCAAGAGCAACAAGACAGTTCTGCACTTGGCCGTGCAGGCCGCCAACCCTACCCTGGTTCAGCTGTTGCTGGAGCTGCCACGGGGAGACCTGCGGGCTTTTGTCAACATGAAGGTGGGGGCCTAGTCTGGAATGTGCAGCTTATGTGAGATATGGCAGAGAAGGGCAGTGGGATGTTGGGAGTCCTGTGGGCTGTGGCCATGGAGGGGATAATGTGTGGGACATGTGTAGCATGTGGACGTGGATTGGGGGATGTGTAAGACATGGACAGAGGGGTGGGTGGAACGTGGTTGTGGAGGGCGGTCTGGGAGGTGAAAGGGGACATGTGGGACAGGGATGTGGCAGAATGTGAAGTGTGCTGCTGAGGTCCCAGACCAGCTGAGTCTGAATCCGTATCAGCCCTCCCCTCACTGTCCCCAGGCCCATGGGAACACAGCGCTCCACATGGCGGCTGCCCTGCCCCCTGGGCCGCCCCAGGAAGCCATCGTCCGGCGCCTGCTGGCAGCTGGGGCAGATCCAACCCTGCGCAACCTGGAGAACGAGCAGCCTGTCCACCTGCTGCGGCCCGGGCCGGGCCCCGAGGGGGTAAGCACCAAGCCCACCCTGACTGCAGAGTGGCCTCTGACCTACGGGGTGAGCCCCCGACCCCACCCATTCCTGACCCTTATTCAACCCTGACTTCAAAATGTGACCTCTGACCCCAGTGTTTGCTCCCTTACCTTGTAATGGCATGTCCTTACCTCTACTTCCACTCTGACCTCAAAGCGTATCCGCTGCTTCTAACCCTGAATCCTGACCTCAAGGTGTGACCTTTGATCCCCAAGTATGACCTCCAACCTTCTGCCCCTGACCCTGAGTCCTGACCTCACAATGGGACTTCTGACCCCCAAATGTGACCTCTGACCCTTTCCTTCTACTCTTTGACTCCCAGTCCCCAATACTAACGCCAGGTGGGAACCCCCAACAAACACCTTTCCCTTCATCCTCAATGTGTGAACCCTGACCTTCACCCCCAACTCCAAATCTTGACTTTGAACGTGACCTTCAAACCCAGCCGACCCCACTCACCCTCTCTAAGCCCCAACTTCTCTGGGTGTGCCTCCCCCACCTCTCCTGGCAACCTCCCAAACTTCTCCGCCTGCCCTGTCTCGTCCCCAGCTCCGGCAGCTACTGAAGAGGAGCCGTGTGGCACCCCCAGGCCTGTCCTCTTAGGACTCAAACCCAGAACCTGGACTGATTTTCCAGTCCCCACCGTCCTGTGGGACAGCCAGCGTATGCGAATGTTGCAAATCCGTGATAATGTATGTGGAATGTCCTGCCATTGGGGTCTTACATTAAAACCCCAAAATGGCTGCTGGGGGGTAAACAGGCCCCAATATTTGGGGTGTTGTAATACCCCTCCCCCACCTGCAAGGAGCCCTCTTGATGATTTCTGTGAAATCGAGGCCCCTTGATTGTTTCTGTGAAACACTCTGGACCCCTAACCCTTTCCCCACCGGGATCTTTTAGGGTCCCCTCCTCTAACTTAGCTCGTCATACCTGGAGCCCCAGATGTAATTCCCCTCCATGGTACTTGGGGCATCTCAAAACATCTCCCAGTAGCATCCAAGTAGACCCCCCAGTCTCCCCAGGACCCACCCCCTGCAGGTCCTTAACTCTGAGACGTAGGAAGGACTGTCCTAGCTGAGAGTCCCAGGTTCTCCTGCTTTCTAATTCAGGGCCCACCCTGTCCCAGACCTCAGCATTCCAGTGAACCCCTCCCCTGTCTGAAACTCCCTATTAAACTCAGTTTGGACTAGAACTGTCATCTGGTCTCTGGGGGCATTGGTGCAGGGGAGTGGCTGGTGCCTGGCTGAGGAGTCAGGTTCAGATGAATGTGCCTGGGTGGGACGCGTAGCAGACACTGTGGGTGCCACCCTGTCGACACCTGGTGTTCTGACGGCTGAGGCCAGCGAGGGAATCTTTGTTTGTGGCTCTGCCCTGGGTATGAGTGTGCAAACCTTGAATGCCAGGGAGTTCCTGCCACTTCCCCCTCCCGCAGCCCCCTACCAGGGACTGACAAGATGGTGTATAAACACCCTGGGTCCCTCACCTCTCCGTGGGAGAACTCGCAAGTGCGTGGTCTGCACTGGCTCTCAAAGTTCCCCTGCAGAATTAAGCTCCACTTCCCCACAGTGGTTCTCGCTTGATAACATACCCTTTCTTGTCTGCTTTCCCTTTTCTGTGTCACTTCCTACCCACCTGACCAAAGTTCTCCACCCCTTCCAATAGTCTTGTCCTCACATCCTTGCCTCAGCATCTGCTTCTGGAGAAACTGAAAGGCAGACAGAAGACCTCCACAATGCCCCCTTCTCATACCTGCCCCACAGCCTCTGCTCTGGCCTCCATCCCAATCTTGCCACCTCAGACAGCCCTTGACCCACTGTAGCCCCCCACTGCTCAGAGCCTCATGGACAACAAACCAAGCACACTTCAGGGTGTGTGCTGGTGCCTCTGCCCCAAAATGTAAGGCTTAAAACAGTCACCACTTATTTGTTCATGATTCTGTGATCTGGACTGGGCTCAGCTGGGCAGTTCTGCTATCTTCTTCGGTCGCTCATGTGTCTGCAGTCAGCTGGAGGCCCGATCAGGCAGGACGGCTGCACTCACGTGTCTGATACCTCAGCCGAGACGGCCGGAACTGCTGGAAGTGGGCTGAGCATCTCTCTCCATGTGGGTTCTGCAGGAGGGTGGGTGCATCCCTTCACAGCTGGCTCCCGGAGGGAGTGTTCCAAGAGAATGAGGCCCTGCTTGCATCGTGCTTGCTGACCTCCCGTTGGTCAAAATCAGTCACGTGGCCAAGCCCAGACTTGGTGGGGAAGGGAGCACTACCCAAGGGCATGAATTTTGGGAGGTGGAGTTGTTAGGGGCCACCAGTGTAAGTCTCCTGCATCAGCTGCCCTGTGCCGGCATGCGTGAGCTCTTCTGTGTACTCACATAGAGGCAGCTGGCCCGTGAAGAATTCATGGAAATACACTGTAAATGTCACCTCTTCTAAGAGCTTAATTGAAATTCATCTTACAGTCAATTATGTGGCATAGTTTAATTTCTGCCTTGTTTTCCTTTTGGTACATAAAATAATACTATTTCTTATCATTAATGGCATCTTAGATTCTGCTGAGATCTAAGATGTATATCCCAATATGTATCCATACACACACATGCCACTGACATTGATAAAATGTCTCCAAGAAACTTCGTGTTATTAAAAGAATTAACATTATTTTCAGTGGGAAAACAAGAATGGCTTAGGGGTACAAGGACATCAAATGAGCAATAGTAAAATTATTTTTCCTGCTGGAATTTCAATAATAACAATGTTTTTAAATTAATCACTCTAAGTATTGCCATTAAAAGGTAAACATTAAAGAATCACGCACTGAGCACATGGAGCAAAATGGCCTTTCATTTCCCATCCCACCTGCTTGGAGCTCTTCACCCACTGTTAGCATGTTCATCAACCTTGGCTGTGCAAACCCAAACGCAGCTTTTCCCCTGCTGGTGATGCTGGTCATAGATTTCTGCTAGGGTCATTGGCGTACACCTGAAGATATAACCAGGATCAGATGCTACTGCACACTGGGTGCTCTAATGAAGCTGTGGCATTGCCTCCAATTTGCATCGTGTAGGCATCTTCCTCCTAATACCTCCAGGCCTGTATTTAATATACATGACCTGTATTTACATGTACACATTTTGAAGAGCCACTGTGAGCTCATAGGTCCTTCGGGAGGATTAGAAATAGGTGCTCCCTCCTAAGTCATTCGTCCCAAAATTGCCTGCTGTGCTGACAAAGGAACATGGCACACTACTGCCATCTGCTGGGAAATTGTGGTAAAAGTGCAAATCTATAATGTCTAGGAAGTGAACCATATCACTTGGAATTTTGCAGTGCACAACCTGAACACCATATGGAACAGCCACGAATTATTAGGCAGCAGGTTAGCAAAATGGCCAATTGTATGGGTGCTGGAGCCAGGTTTCCTGGGTTGAATTCCTAGCTCCGACCCTTCCTAGATGGTGACCTTGAGAACATGATGTAACTTCTCTTTGCCTCCATTTCCCAATCTATAAATTAGGATAGTCGTAGTGCCCACTTCACGGAGGAGAAGTAACGATTAAGTGTGCCAATGTATGTAAAGCCCTCGGAGCAGTGCTGGGCACAGAGCGAGCGCCATATGGGTGTTTGCTGCCATACCATTTTAACATTTATCCCACAATTACCTGTGAAGTAACAGGCACAGTTCTAACGTCTCTATTAACCTATAAATATTATCTATATTTATCATATAGATAAAATATAGATATATAATATATAGATAGATATATAATATAGCTATTATAAAATAATATATAATATAGATATTATAAAATAATATCTATAAATATTAACCGTTTTCATCCTCACAACAACCCTCACGGGACAGGTAACAGCTCACGCAGAGTAATAACTCCAACATGTTACAAAATGGGACACGTGAGGGTATAAATTCCAATAGGCACTTGCAAACACCACGTAACCCTCTCTGGAACATGTGACTGAAATTTCCTCGCCCCAGAGGAATTCCTATTGCCTCCCCAAGAAGGGATGAAGACTTGCGAATGAGAAGAGCGGTTCAAGATTACCAGTGTCTCATCGGGCTCTCAGCTTGGGGGGGATGCTGTGTGTGATTGTGTGTGAGGGCAAGAAGAAGGCCGGGGAAACTCGCCAGCGCCCAGCCTCATCGCAGTCCACCCTGGGACCCAGCAGATAGAGGCCTAGAAGTCGAGGCCCGTTCAGCACCACGGAAAGCTCCTGGCTGGGCGTGAGAGGCTGTCCAAGGTCTCCGGGCCACGCCCCCTCCCACAGGCCCCGCCCAGACTTAAAGATCCCTCCTCCGGTTTAAGGAGGTGGAGGAGGGCCCGGCAAGGATGCACACTAGCGCTGAGAGCTATGATTACACACCGATTTCCCCGACAGAGACGCAGGATGGCTTGGTGGGGAAGAGGACTTTATTGGGATGTTAGTGGGGGACACGTGGGAGGGTGAATTTCAGGGAACAACAGACACTGGGACCAAGCTAGTGGTCACCTTAAGGAACAATAAATTAACGTACAAAATAAATTAAGGTGAAGAGGTCCCAAGCAGGGAGGCAGCTGGGAATACCTGGGGACTTCTTAGGGATGGAATTTGGAATTGGAAAGGAAAAATAATTTCCAGCCCCCTCACAAGGGGAAATGAACTTTTTCAAGACCCCTCCCCCAGGCTGGGAGTTGGGGTTCTGGGGCTCCAGGAAGAGGGAAGGTCTGGGCTCAGCCGAAGGGGTGAAGGGGGCTGGTTCAGGGTCGTTCCTCCAGGAAGCGGTAGGTGGGGTTCTCGTAGCCGTGACGCTGCAGTTCACGCAGCTGCTGCTCCTCCAGGGTCAGCATGGGGTCCACCTGCAAAGGGACAGCGGAGGGATAGTGGGGCATGGGGACCTGACCACAGATCTCACAGCCACTCCAAGCCCAGGATTTGGAACTCCACCCCACTCCACGTCTTTGTGTCTCTCACCTCCACCACTCCGTGGCTAATAGCCCCATAGGGCTTCTTTCTGCGCAACAGCAGCAGGGAGAGCACGATCAGGGAGCCCCCACCCGCTCCCATGATCAGCAGACCGGACACAGCCTCTCGGGACACGCCTGTCCCGGCTGGTGCCTGTGGGGAGAGGAGATGGGGCAGGGGTCACCTTAGAGGCTCACCAGGGCCCTAGGCGGCTTTGGGAGTCACAGCCTAGCCACTGACCTCTGACCTCTCCCCCTAGGTACCCAGAATATTCCTCCTCTTACCAGCTCATCTCTCTGAATCTCCGATGAGTGGAAAGGAAAACCCCTTGGAACAGACACATTCACCTGGGGGAGCAGGAGGTGTCAGTCTGGGCCCCAGCCTCCTCCTCCCCTGGGTCCCAAGAGGGCATCCCCCAGCCCTCTTCTTCCCAGGACCCTGAAGTCCATGTCCTCAGTCCCTTCTTCCCTCAGGCCAAGGAATCCAAACCCTTAGCACCCTCCTCCTTCAGGCCCAGGAGTCCAGCCCCTCTCCCGTCCTCCCTCAGGTGCCCGCAGGTCTGACTAACTTACCTTTCGCTCATACTGCTCCAGGGGAGACATATTCTCTTTCCCAGGGGATGCAGCATCTTGTTCTGTGGACCCTACCCCCCAAGTGCTATCTCATTCCAGAGAGTCCAGAGTGGTGCTACCCTCGCCTGAGGAAGGGGTTAGAGGGGGCACCAGACTCCACCCCAGGAGGTCTGAGATTCCCAACCTGTGGGCCCTTTTTCCATTCCGGGTTCAGGGACTCAATGGGATTTGGTGGCTGGGGTCTACTCTGTGAGATACTCACCTTTTGGAAGGGCCATGGGGGTGTCTGCTGGCAGCCGGGGGAGGCAAGGCAGGTGGAACAATGAAGAGAGGAGGGCATCATCGAAGAAAGGTGGAGAAACACCCTCCCAGGGGCCACAGAAGGAGGACCAAGGATCCTCAGAGGCCTCCCCAACCTTAGACACTCCTTCCCATCCTCTCCCACTCACTGTGGCGACTAAGACACCCCTGACTTTAGGGGATTAGATTGAGGTTGAGGGCCTGTCCCCTAAGTCTGGTGTTACCTATATTTGGGTTAACTCACCATCCTTGGAATCCAGAGGCTGCAGCTCACCCTTGTCCTCACTGCTCCCCGCCGGGGCAGGGGCTTCCAATTCATTGGGCCCCAGGTGTTCAGAGTGGAGGAGTTCCTCTGAGGGGAACATGCAGAAAGGTGGCTGAGGTCGTGAGCACAGGGACCTCACAAAACAAAACTGGGTGAGCAGATGGCACCTAACAGTTGAGTGACTGGGGGCAGCCCGAGTATGATCTGGGGAAGTGGGAGCTAGATGGAGGCAGCCCTGGCAGGGAGGATGGAGGCTGAAGTTTGAAGAGAATGGCCTCCTTAAAGAGTAGGGGAATTCGGGTTAGGTGTGGGACATCCAGTAGGAAGTCACAATAGATCTGGGAGCTGTGGGAGGTCACGCTTTCTGGTACTCATGCTCTTGTGTAGGCCCTCTCCTTGAATCTGGACTGGGTTTGTGACTTGCTTTAACCAATAGAATGTGGACCCAACCCTCAAGAAGACCTGGCAGCTTCCACTTTTGTGGGGATCCTGAACCACCATGTAGGAAGTCCAGCTACTCTGCTGGAGAGACCATGTGAAGGGGTTCCAGAGAAGAGAGACCCCAAGCCTACACGGAGAGGGAGAAAGGCTCTTTTGTGCCAGAGTCCCAGGCCCGAACTGATCGGCTAGCCAAATGTAGCTACGAGCTTGACCACTGGCAAGACCAGCAGGAGAAGCACCCAGCAGAACCCAGACCAGATGGCAGAATCACGAGCAAAGAAGTTGGTTGATTCAAGTCACTAAGTTCTGGGGTTTGTCACATAGGAATAGATAACTGAACTGGCGGGTGGGAGTGAATAGTTGGGGGTCAGGATCTGCTCTTAGAGATCTAGAATGGGAACCAGGGGTCACAGGCACTCACGGATCTGGGGCCGCAGCTCCTGAGCCAGCTGGGGGTTCTGGTCAAGAAGCCCCAGGCTCTGATTCATCCTTTCCTCGATTACTTGAAGGTGGGTCTGCACCTGTGGGGGAGGGAGTATGAAGTATGAAGGGGCAGTATAGGCTAGAGGTGGGGAAACTGAGGCAGGGTGAAGGAGGCAGGTCAATAGCGTCCAAGGACAAGTAGCACATATAATGGACAGGTGGCAGGGCACAAGGGCCAGGAACTGGGCCACCAGAGGAAGGAAACTGGAGGAGGAGAAGCAGAATATAAAAAGAAGAAAAAGACGTATAGAAGACAGGAAGTAAGAGGCTTGAGAAAGGAGGTAAAGTAGAAGGAAAAGGAGCAGTCGCTAGGAAAAGCAGGGCACAGGAGACAAAATAAGTACAGGACACAAGGAACATGGCGTAGAAGAAAGGAAGCGGAGGTAAGTGGGTAGGAGGGGCAGAAAGTAGGGTCTGAAGAATAGAAAGTGAAGTTTGAGGGG